TTTAGACCATTAATTATACTTATTACATCATTTTCTGTAATCGGGTGCATGAAGAAACTATTTGGATTATTGTCGATATTTTGATGTATGAATTGCCAATCATATTCGCTGTTGTTTATCAGTGGTTTTGTGAAATGTATGTTAAATTTATTGGATAACTGTGTATCATTCAAAGATTTGTCATTTTCCTTTATTACTATTTTACTAGTATTTGTTGTAGATTTCTTTTGCAAGTTGTTAATAATATTCCAGGTTGTTTTCGACTTGTTATCAGAGGTCAAAATCAAATTGTCGTAGTATGACTTGGATGCTGCCTGTAGCCCCTGCTGATATTCTCGATTTAAAAAACTACTTAATCCCCTGAAACGAGGATCATGTTGGGCTAGACTATTGTAAAGAGATACACTGTTTTTAAGATTAGCTAGAGGAGGTGTCATAATATACTTAGTTGCTTGTTTCTTTTTATCACCCCTTTGGTGTACCTTCTTATTCGGGAATGAGATCTCGAAATAGTGTAACATGACATCTGCAAAAGCTTGGTAGGCTAAGTTGGGACACGAATGAATATAGATATCATTCCAGTTTTCATTTCGTAAATAATTTTTGAAAATGTTAATATTCTCATCTGAAAAGTTGCGCTTATAATAAAATGGTTTAAATGCCACTTTTACTGGCAGCTCATCAAAGAGCAGGTCAAGGAATTGCGAGTAGTGGTCTGAGAGATGCATATTCACTACTGCTACACTATAGGGATTTATAGTCTTGATTATGAAATATCAATACAAGTTTCTGAGTTGCCTTTAACTCTTGTCGGGATTTTTAGTGTGACATTAACATCAAAACACGATAATAAGTCTTCGAGTAATATACAATACGTTGTGTGAGAAATGAAGTTAATGTTGAAGTCGCCTCCAATAATCACTGTCATTTTTGGTGAACATATTTTACTTAAGATATCACTTAGTAGTCCCAGAAAATCATGAAAATCTCTATCAGGAGATTCTCTATTTTTATGGCACAAATTTCCAAGATACCTTCTTTACAGCAATCATCTAAATCATATCTCTCTACAACTCCTTGAAAATCATCAAGTTTATAGATTGCAACTCCATCACGAAAACGCATTATAAAGGGTGAATCTACTTAATTTAAAGCTGTCAATCGATTCTTGCGACTGCCAGTGTTCAGATATAAGCAAAAAATCACAATACTTGTCATTTTCAAAGATATTATTCAAACTTAGCGTTTTGTTGCTGATACATTGGATATTCTGGTGACAAAAGGTGATTTTGGACTTTTTAGCATCAGTTACAGATTGAGGTTTTACTACAGGTTCACTGTTTGTTCCTGAGGATGATCTAAAAAAAAAGATGAAACTGGTTCTATGTCATTTAATTCTGTTATTTCTATTATCTTCAGAGCAAATTTTTGTTGGTTTCTTGCTCTAAATTCCATATTTTTTTTTTAATTTTTCCACAAGTTCAAATTTGCTGCCCTTTTGTTTTCTGTCAGTAAGAAATGTTATCGAGCAGTTTCTATTTAATTGTTTGAATATCTTTATTTTTTTGAAAATAAGCCTATTGATATTTTTGTCAAGGTAGTCGTTACATTCTGATACAATAAAAAGATTTGTAAATTTACCAAGACCTAGCACATTATTCAGAAACAATTGTAAAGTTCTGTTATTGCTTATATTTTTCGTGTTAAACATAACAATTATTGTATCCGCTTGACCATATCCTATTGTTTAAAAAAAATGTTTTCATTTAACTCACAAAGTTCCGTGTCCTTTCTTATATTCGCGTTTATCTTAGATGCATATTGGTCTATAAATTTTGTGATGACTCTTGGGAATCCTGTCGCGTACTGGTCACCACAGATATAAATTTTTCTGTGAAATCTCGTTTGACTTTGCATGGTGATAACACACATCTTCACTATTTGTAGTTGTAGTATTATTTTGTTGAGAAATTTAAGTTGTGATATTTGCTGTTTCCAATTCTACGAAAATACTTGAGTTTCTATATCTTCTTGAGTGAAGTTTTCCTCTCTCCGTGTGTCATCTAGGATTGGAATGTCTACGCCACTGATGAAAAGGGAGTCCGTCATTGTCGATTGTTGCTTCTTATGATGGGTACATGTATGTGTATCAGCTGTTTTTACAGCGACCCTTTTTACTGTTATTTCTTTCTTTACTTCCTTTATTTTTATTTTCTATTCAATATATTTTTTTTGCTTTTCTAGCAGTGAATTCATTTCTTTCTCAACGTCTAATGCCTGCTGTATTATAATTTGGTTTTCATCTTTCAGTTTTTGTATGTACTTGTCTTTTAGAAATCCATCTTCGGCAAGTTCATTTATTGTTTTTTCTAATATGCTGTTTTCTTCTTCATGTTCTTCCTCGGCGTTCACACTGCAACAGATTATTTTATTGTCTCTAACAAATGTGACTTTTTTTTTTCCACTGTTGCTGCAGACAGCTCTTATGAAACACGCTAGAACACTTTGTGTACACATAATGAACAAAAGGTTTCTGTTTACAACATTTGTAGTTCATTTTCTGGAGCGAGTTATAAACACGTCTATCACGTATCACGTTAAAGTGAATAAGCAATGAAGTCGCTTGCAGCACCCTCATTTGCGAGAGAGTCAGCAGCTTTATTGCCTTCCAGGCCAGTAAGGCCAGGAGGAACCAGAGACAATCTGTTTAGTCTTCCTATCGAGGATAGTCTCTTTTGGCAGTTTGCTACCAATTTAGACGTTGCTCGGTGGGAGCCAAGAACTTTCAGTGCCGCCTGACTATCCGAGAATATTTTTATTGACTTGTGAGTGAGATTGGATTTATCCAATCTCTCTTCACAGAATTCAATAGCGTAAATTTCCGCATGAAATACAGTCGCATAAGTTCCTAGGCAGGTAGATAACTCTGTCCTGGGTCTGAGACTGAAAACACCTGCACCAGAACCGGAAGGTGTTTTTGATCCATCTGTGAACCAACAATTATCTACTCTACCCTGTAGATCGACCACCCTGTAGATGGGTTGAACAAAGCCTGCAAAAACGGTAACTAATCTTTTATCAAGTTTTTTACAAACTGTAGGTTTTCGTCGAAGTATTCGGAAATTCAATTTCTCAGTACTACGTGAATGTCGGCGATCCGAATATTGCAACAAAAATACAGTTCCGAATTTAAAAATTCAAAGATGGAGATGATCCAAATCAGACACCCCGTATAGAAGTTTCATAAATATATTCTGATGGCCTAAATTAGGTACCAATGACACAGTGTGGATATATTTTTAATATGACCGCGAATAAACAAGATACAAACAAAAACCAAAACCGGAAAAGCTACATTTGATTCTCTCTCTCTGTCTCTCTCCCAAAATAAAAATGAAATTGTAGGAAAATTAAAGCTCATAATTTTACCTGAGCTTTGAGTATTTGTAATGAAATTTCAATAAACTGAATACCTTCATCTTTGCTGAACTTCCTTTCAGAGATCAACAACAAATAAGTTATTTTAGCAAATATATTGATTAGACTATAAGGCAATAATATACCTATATACACTGCTGACAATCAGAAAAATGTTGTTTTGAAGGCATCTCCTCCATATGTCTATGGGGCGACTCACCCTATCATGGTTGTTCCAAGAGCAGGGGCAGGTCCAGTGAAACCACTGAAAGTTTATTCTGCACCATCTGTCCCAGTAGCTGAACCCCCTCCGGTATCACTATTGAGTGAGTCAGATTTGAAACAGGTAATTAATATAAACTTGTCTATTTTCAAAAATAAAATTGGGTAGTGACTAACTAGTTAGAATCCCATTACACTAATTTGGAACCTTGATGTAAAATCAATATATGAAAATATTTTCCCCACAACAGGACATATTCCGATGAGGCTTACTTGGTTATCAAAACTCGCATCGAGAGACAGTATTTTTGTTCTGGTGTGGAAAAAGTTTTTTCGTAGATTCAATCAAATGAGTTTTATAGCATAGTAGAAATTGAGATACTTCTTTTTGAAAATTTAAAGGACTGAGAATCTTTCGAAAACTAATTTATTCAAAATGTCAAAATTAAAACATACCTAATAATAATTATTGGTATTCCAGACACCTATTGAAAAACCAAGTGTAATATAAAACAGTGTGAATGTGCAAAGTCTGATCTGAATAACTGCTGTACTTTGATTTTTAAAATTTTACTAAAAAATCTTCAGCGTATATAAAGTAGTAAATATACATTTGTAAATCTTTTGAAGAAGTATGGTAACTTTGTATAATAATTTTCAAATATTTTTTCAATTAGATTGAAGAAATGTTTCCAAACATCGAGAAAGACGTCGTCAAAACAGTGTTTGAAGCCAACAGAGGAAACAAGGAAAGCACCATCAACTCTCTCCTTCAAATGTCTGACTAATTTGTCATTGACTGTGATTTGTATATAATTTTAATGAATTTTATATATCTAAATATCAATGAAATATGAAAGTAATCTTTCTTCAATTGTTATATTGTATAATCATGTTACAACCTAATTCCAGCTTATTTCATTTTGGCCATAATTTATTTCAATTACTAGTCCATTAGTGAACTGATTATAATGTGTTATGTTAATGAAAAATCGTGCCAATATATGTTTGCAGTTGGAGATTTTGTTTTATTACCTTGGTTGTCACTGAAAACAAATCATTAACTGCTTGCGAACCGCACGTTGAAAAGTAAGACCTCTTTAATCCTTAGCTCACACAAGTTTCGACTTTTGAGGGTTGTCGTTTGTAGGAGGCGGCGACAGCTCGTTCATGGAAAAACAGATTTTGAACAGGTTCAACAGATTTCGTACGACTTGAGACTGGGTGTATGAATCAACCTCAAATCAATCCAAACAGAAATTTTCAAAGTTATTAAACATAATGAATATGAATTTCTTGAATTAATTCAATACAAGACTTACTAGACGTTAAAAGGAAATGGAAATAAAGCTCGTTATTTGCAAAGGAAGTTACTGGATGAAGTAGTTTTTATTGTGAATCACTAAAAATCATAAATACTAGGATTGCTCCATTGTCATAATCATTATTCAGTGAGTAAGTGAGTAAGTTATCCATGGTAATAGTTGTATAATTTCCACACTATAAATTTTATTTATGACACGATTCGCTACACGAAAGCTTCATCAGTTATATTCTGGATATCAAAACAATCTTAGAGTAGATAAATCAGATTGCTTGTAGTAATATAATCCTTTTATAAACTGTATGTAATGGAGGGCTTTTATTATTTTTCATTATTATGAGGGTGAGTAACTGATTATCAGTTGTGCATTTAAGTGACATGATAAGGTGAGGTATATGGCTGTACTATAGAGAGGGACTCTTATCTAAATAACCGATATTTACTTACACAATTTAAATAAATCATTTTTTGCCTTTGAAGCACCATGTCCAGCGAAAAATTAAAAAAAAATTGTTTTGGGTAAAGTATAAAATGAGCACCAGCAAATAGTTTATGTAGTTTTTAATTTATCAGATATTATTGAATTGAATTAAAATAGGTAAGAATGGAAAAGGCTCATAAAAGAAACTCAAAAAAATATCTAAAAAATTACTAACTGCTCTGCCTGACAGCAAAGGGTAAACATTTTTAGGAAAATTTTCTAACAAACTTTTGGATTGAATATCTGCCCGATTAAGTACTTTTAATATGAATATGTTTTATATTAATGTTTTTCATTAGTTTTTAACTTTTTTTATTATTGATATATGTTACTTCTTCCTGTTTTTGGGTATATAACCTTCCACAATCTGAAAAATAAAAAAGCTAAATCAATAGAGCAAACTGGCAAACTGAAAAGTTAACCCCGAAAAGTTACTGTGTAATAAAAACCACTGAAGAGTCCAATCAGTCAGTAACCTGTCTTTATAAATTTTGAGAAAATTGAGAAAAAAAAATATTTATACTTAGCTTTCTTTAGTGGTCCATGTTTCAGAAAACAACATTTTTTTGTTTTCAAAACCTGAAATTCACTTTAAAACGTTCGCCTCAAATTATGAGTATTAAAAATAACTGTAATTCTTTAAACATACGTTAAAAGAATTAAATGTCATAAATCTACATGATGTCTATGGGATGTTTTTTGAGAATTGATGTAAGTTCATGTTTCTGTTTTCAACCTCTCTTCTTAGTAATGGCAACCAGGTACGATTCATTTCTACAAAGCTATTTGAAATAAACTTGTTACCTGCTAAAACTACTGAAAACTCAGTACTATTGATAATATATTTTTGAATTTTCCAAATGACGGAATTTGTTCCGTCATAGATAACAACATGTCAGATCATAAAACGGTATTAATTGAATTAAATATGTCAATGGGAGACAATAACCATATATTGGAGTATTTTAAACGATCATTTATTTGATAATAATTCAATAAATGCTCTGTCTCAGGAAAACGAATAATATTTATGACATTTTCAATTTGGACGAAGCATTTAATTATTTCTATGATATACTTTTATACCATTTCAATACCTATTTTCCTATAAGAAAACGTGACATTAATAAGCACCGTTTGGGTAAAAGGTGGGTAAATCATGAAGTAAAAGTATCTTCTGATAACTTAAAAAATCTCTTTAGAATGAAAAGCACTTACCCAGATCTTCAGAATATATATACTGAGGCAAAAAAAGCACACTTCAAGTTGATAGAAGATACAAAAAGAAAATGTTATCAAGAAAAAATTTCTTCATCAGAGAACTCTAGTCAAACTGCGTGGTGTGTAATTAATGAATTGTCCAATAAAAATAGATCGAAAACCAACAATATAGAAATTAAGGACAATAACAATATTTTGATAAATCAACCTGACAACATGGCTAATTTATTCTGCACTTTTTTTGCAGAGACACCTAAAGATATTTTATAACAAATTCCAAAGGTCAACAATGGGCTGAATAGCCGAATAATTAACAATAGGGATACGCTTTTACCGAATACGAGCTTCTGCTGCTCATCAATAATAAATAAAAAAATAAAAAATCATTAGGTTTTGATGATATTCCACCTTTCATTATAAAGAAAGTTTCAATTTCTATTTTACAACCTATAACCCATCTAGTAAATTTATCATTTGAGTCAGGCTGCTTTCCACATCGTTTCAAGGTGGGAAAGGTAGTTCCGTTACTTAAAAAGGAAGATCCAACACTTATGAAAAACTATAGAGACACCATTCCCCTAGTGTGGGTAAAATTTTTGAATACTGTTTTCTGAGTCGCCTCGATTCATTTTTTCGAAAGCATATGATAATTTCTCCAAATCAGCATGGATTCCGAAGTGGTTTTTCGACGGTTACAGCTTTAAATGTATTTTATGAAAAGTTGGTCTCGTTTCTTGATGCGGGAGAATGTCCTGTGGGATTATTTTGTGATCTCTGCAGGGCATTTGACTGCGTCAACCACGATATGTTGTTGAAGAAATTAGAGGAATATGGTATCAGGGGAACAGCATTGGATTGGCTCTCATCATTTCTGACTGATCGAAATGTCAGTCTGAATTTTTGCGAGGGGGAAGAATGAAAACGGTAAAATCACATCAAGTTTCAGTTGATATTGGAGTTCCACAGGGTTCTATTTTGGGCCCTGTTCTATTCTCTCTGTATGTGAACGAAATAGGTTCATTAACACCTGACGCTCTCATTACACAATATGCCGATGACACATTTGCAATTATATCAGATAGAATGGCAATCGACTTGGAGAACAAATATAATAGGGTAGTTTCTACAATGAATAACTGGTTTTCTCAAAACTTACTACTTCTTAATCCAACCAAAACCAACATTATATGTTTTCATAACAAACAAAAAGCAGAAAAGATAATCAACGTTTATCTTAAAAATGCTCTGGTAGAACAAAAAATAATGTTAAATCTTTAGGTATTGAGGTTGATAAGCATCTCGATTGGAAGCTCCATCGTTCTGGAATTGTCTCTAAGTTGAACTCCACAACATATTTGTTTTATAATCTGAAATAGATTTTGAATGTAGGTCAGAAGATAAATTTATACTTTGTTCAAGTCTACTCTCAAGGCTTCGATATGGTATTTGTGTATGGGGAAATTCTACTTCCACTCCGAAAATATTAAAATCGCAAAAAAAAGCCAAAAAGAGCATCTTGCCGCAAAAATTTTAAAAAATATAAAATTTTAACTCTTTGTGTCTTTGTTTGTTTATGAAATGTGAATGTATGTTTTTAAAAACTGAAATATCAGAAAAAAAAAATCATCTGTGTAAGTGAATATCACTCTTTTAATACAAGACAAACTAAAAACTATGTCATACCATTTGCAAAAACTAAATTAACTATTTCATCAGTTCGGACTTCCATTGTCTAATATAATATAAATTGATTTGAAATCCCTGAAAAATATTTTAATAAATTAAAAAGATTAACCAAATATACCAATTTTATTAAACAAAAAACTGAAAATTACAAAAAATAATAACATACAAGCAACTACCTAAATTTTTACTAATATTTAATACTTTAAATACCTTTAAACCCATAATGGATCACTCCTCAAGTTGGTACCATTATTTTTAACATGACACTTGACACATCTTGTCTCAAAGTTGTCCTTCTTTCATATAATACTTTGACTGAACCACATGGCCTCAACCAAAAATGTATTTTCTTGGCTATCAGCCTATTTTGTTTTATATAAGTCAAATATTACATGTGCCATGTACTTATTTTGATACTTTCTGTTGCCTGACAAGTGAGTAATCTCAAACAATTTTCCAAATTTCTTAACATTAATAAACATTTTTTTGCAACTTCAATTTTCACTAAACTTCATTTTCAATTAGATCACTTACTTTCAGGTGATCACTGATGATGACGAAAGTCGAAAGTTTGCAAGAATTTTAAAAATTATACACCTTAATACAAAAACCTCTTCGGTTCATTCAAATTTATTACACCAAGCAGATAGGACTGGAAAAACGGTCACCGTCATATGTATGTTCTAAACACGAAATGAATAGTGAATTTTTCATAGTTAATTACCGTCGATTAGAAAGAGATATAACCTCAATCGTTTATTAAATTATATTCATTATATCAAATTAAATTTATTTCATTACCATCTATATTTGATTCATATTCCACTCGGAATTAAGTCTGAAGTTTATAATAATTTTAAATTTCTTTTATTACAGTTTGAATCTACCGCTACTCGTTTACTAGAGTCTGTATACTAACCTGTCTACTAATTCACTTTTTTTTCAGTTACTTTTAAGTTACGGCATGCAAGCCAACATTTTAATGTTACAACATTGTTATCCTTTACAGTTGCAAATTTTAGTTTTGCTCCAGGATCATTTTCTTCTGTTAAAAACATTATTTTTCAATTGTACTTTACCATATGTTTATATGAGGATCATGCAGTGTTTGTCCCTACCGAACTACTAGCGCTGCTAGTGAGTGATTTTTTGTACTTCAGGAAAAAGGTTCATTCTTGGTCGACACCAAGAATACCTTAGTCACACTGACTAGGTTCGTCAATTGTCGATGATAGGTATGAGGATTACCTACTCACATGCACATGTAACTACATGATCCAGAAAATCATCTACGGCATAAATACAGT